GAGAGAGAGAGAGAGAGGGTGGGAGACTGAAGAAAGGCTAAGCTAGGGACAAGGGAGGCAAGGGGGAGGACGGAAAGGGATGAAGTATTATTATTTTGCACCCTACAGGCTAGGGCGCTCTCCTATTTATAAACACAGGTCTACTGATATCAATCTATTACATAAATCTATGCTGAGATACCCCTTAACCATATTAAATGCATATTCATCACAAAATATAACTCCTATGGGGAGATATTGCGCATGCGCCAACACACTAACGCAGCCAGATTGTATACTGACTGCAGCGGGCACTTTACGTGCAAGGTCTCCTTCCTATTTCTTACAGCTACAGTTTAAACAATATGCTCTTTCAATCATTTAATAAATGTTCGAAGCCGCACAGGCCAGGTCTGACAGAGCCGTATATAGAGCTATATAAATATACGGCTCTGAGGTATATAGTATGAAACATGTATGCGCTATCATTCTACTGACCTATTTAAATTTTATTAGCGCTCCGTCAGCCGAGACCTTTAATCAAAACGGGGCATTGGGATTTATTTTTCATGGCGAGCTACTGCGCCAACTATTTTCTTTCTACTTTAAAAGTATAAATGCAGCAGGATTTTATATCATTTGGTAGAAAGTGGGTATTACCGAGCATATAAGGTCTTTCATTGTTCCACGAGGAAATTTGGTTCGATGTGTGAGATATAATAGCGATGTTACGTGTCAAACTGCTGCTCTGTTTGCGTGATTCGTAAGCGCTATAAAAATTGAATAGTTTTAAGGAAATTTCATTTCATTTATTTGAAAAAGGCTGGACATAAAGCTACATATGTCACTTAGGACACCAAGGGGTGTAGCCGGAAGAAATTCCTAGGGGTGGCGTGATGGGGGTGGGGTGAAATTTTCGTGACTCACCTAAGTAATGACGGGGGTAGGGCGCAGCTTCCAGCCAGCACGCATAGTGAGGCATGATGTGTGTGGGCACGAGGGTGTCACGGACGACTATATTTATTTCTACTTGCTACTTATACAGTAACACTATATACATATACGCTATACACACCTATACATACATCGTTTTGGGGTTATTTACATTTTTTGGCTTTTATTTCATTCTTCTCTCTATAATCTAGGCTCTAGCGGGTACCTCCTCTCGTTAAGGCCGCCGCACACCAGCCGATTTTTACAAACGATGAAGCGATGAAGCGATGAAGCGATGAAGCGATGTAGCGATGTAGCGATGAAGCGATGAAGCGATGAAGCGATGAAGCGATGAAGCGATGTAGGTGTGCGCGTTCATTT